TCTGATATGCAGGATGGTCTTAGGCGACCCCTGTGAAAAGGTCGTTCGACCCCCAAAGGGGTCGCGACCCACAGGTTGAGAACCGCTGTTATAAGTTTTACTGTGGGTATGTATGTATATATTCTACCTAACAGATATTATTTATTAAATGCTGTTGGTTACTTTGAAACCACAGTTGTATATAGTTCATCTCAAAGATATATACTCCCCTCATTGAGTTTTCACGTGAAATATTCCAATAAGGAAGAAACAAATACAGTTTACATTTTACGCCTGTGATGAAAGTGTGCGTGACCACAACACTCTTTCACAACTTTGTCACATGCACATACTAACAAAGCAAATCACTAACAGACACTTACTACTGAAATTCCTCACTATCCTACTTTTACATCTGAAATACTGCAACACGTTCTTATTTGGGTTAAGTTGGGAAATACAGACTTTATTGGGTTTGAGATATTTAGAGATATTCACAGAAATGTTGAAGAATTAAACTTTTAATTGTGTAAAAGCTTATACATTCCCTTGGTTTAAAATTACTAAGGTAAAAAGGGGGAAACAATGAAAATTCTCTTTCTGGCCAGTTTCCCTCACCAGTTTATTTTGTTCAATGCTACAATTCGAGAATCCTAGTTTTGTACATATCAACAGAGAAAGAGATCAAGGGTCAAGGCTATAGATTAGCCATGGTTAACAATGAAAGCAGAGATACACTCACCTTGTTGAATAATAAAGAATGATTTTAGTGGAGCAAATACTAGAGCCTATCAACTGTGCAGAGAGCAATTCCACACACAGATTTCTAGACTTGTGTGTGGAAACCTGTTTGACTGGTTTGGTCTCAGAGGAGCTAAGAGAACCCAAGGAGAAGTAAGACTCATGTAAACAAAGTAAATAACCATTTGAAGTACAGACCTTCTGAAGATACAGTTCAGGAACTTTAATGGGATGGCATATAGAAGCTGAGAAATGGAGAAAGATAGGAGAGAGGAGAGTTAAAAAGAAAAGAGGTGAGGAGGAATCAAGTATAAAAATTGCTCAGATTCGTATTGAAAAATATAAGATGGCACATTAGTCATGTTTGAGTTTCTTTCTCTATTTCAATATTTACTATCCATGTGACTTTGGGAAATGTTCCCATTTGTAAAATAGTAACTTCATTACAAATGCTGTTCATATAATATATGCAGTGCCTGGAATATATATATATATATATATATATATATATATATATACATACACATATAGTATATGTTCTCCCATGACAAATATTTTTATTTGTTATGAGTAATTCTGATTAACAAGAAGACAATTTTAAATCTCTGCAGTATTGAGATTCTCTAGTTAAAGTTTATTCTTATAGCTCATCTGTCTGATAGAGAAAAATCTGAAAACAATCTTTGTTAAATTTGAAATAAGAGAATCCTTAGCTGCACAACTCATAAGGAAAATATGGGTACAACACTCAAAATCAGTCTGAGTTGAAGTTTAAGTTAAATGACTATCAAAGATATCAAAATCTATATATATAAAAGCTTAAGCGACTGGCCAACCAACCGGTGACCAGCCAACCAGCCGGTAGCTATAATGCTCAATGATCACTAGGGGGCAGACGCTCAATGCAGGAGCAACTTTTCAGAGTGCCCTCTCACACTCCGGGACCCCTCCGAGGATGTGGAACTGCTGGTTTTGGTCTGATCCTCGCAGGCCAGGCCTCGGTACCTCACCTGCCAGAGGGACCCTGCTCACCCTGCAGACACCCTTTGAGCCCTGGTGCCGCCCCGGTGCAGTCAGCTGGGGAGGGATTGTGGAAGGTTGGCTCCAGGGCATGTCTGGCCAGTCTCACCCAGTCCCACCCCGCTGGCCACCTTCTAATTAATTTCCTATCAATGTGCATGAATTAGTACACTGGGCCTCTAGTTAAAAATAAGGCCACTGTACTTCTGAGAAACTTCAGTGTAAAGATGTTGTACTATATCTTTACCACCTTAATGAGAGCAATTTAAGCATTTTAACTTGTTGTTCTTCCCCCAAGACATTTCGATGAGGGCAAATTTTGTAATTAGTGGCCTCTAAATTTTAATTGCATCATTAGTCTTGTAGATCCATTCGGCGTCCCTCTTTCCTGAACTAGCTTATTCAATTAGCTAATAATTGCTTTCCACCTGTCAGGACAGAGTCAAAGTCTGCATCCTAGAAAAGTGGCACTAGCCACCACTGTTTCTTATAAAACTCCTGATTTGTTAAGGTGTTTTAAGCTCCTAAGCAATTTGGAGAAACAGGCAGAGATCAATCTTATTAGAGGTAGCTTTTGCCATTGTTAAAATTTCACTATATGGCCCAGGCTCCAGCCAACCATGAGCAATAATTGTGTCCTTGTGCCTGAATCTGCCTTGGCTAATGCCTAGCAATGTTTTTATGACTCATTTTGAGGCATGGCCGAAGGTAAATGTCTCAGTACTAAGCAAATACCCACTCAACTCAATACATTGGAAAGAAGTTTATTCAGGCAAGATGGGAACTGCAGCACAAGTTTCACAGACTGTGATTAAATGAAACGATTTGTCATAGTCTCAAAGGCCTCGTGAGAGATTTAGCTAATTCTTTGGGTTTTTTTAAACGGAGTAAATTCCCTTGTAAATACACAATTTGACATGCATGCCACCTTGCATTTCCTTATCTTTGTTCCTGAAACTTAAAAATAAAATCTATAATATATTCTACCTTACATGGATTTACAAATTAATCAATATCTAATGCCTCCAAATTTCTAAGTTAACGTATATAAGCGACCGAACAAGCAAACAACCGGTCAACCAGTTGCTACAGTGTGCACTGACCACCAGGCGGCAGATGCTCAACAAAGGAGCTGCCCATGGTGGTCAGTGTGCTCCCACAGGGGGAGTGCCGCTCAGCTGACTGATGGGTGCCAGACGCTGGGCCCACAGCTGGCGAGTGCAGCTGCGGCAGCGTGAGCCTCTCCCACTTCTGCAGCAGTGCTACCAAGCAGCAGAGGCAGCAGGTGCAGCAGGGCCAGGATGAGCGGGAGCGGTGCTGCGCGTGGTCCAGGCTCGGCTCGGGCTCCTCCCTGGCTGCCTGCTGCTTGGTGCACCACTACATCCCTTGGTGGATGTTGGACTGCCGGTTTCAGCCTGATCCTCTGGACTTCGGAGATCAGGCCAAAACCGGCAGTCCGACATCCCCTGAGGAGTCCTGGATTGCGAGAGGGAGCAGGCCAGGCTGAAGGACCCCACCGGGGCACGAATCCGTGCACCAGGCCTCTAGTAATTACATAGTTTGTTAATGCTCACAGCAATCTTCTTTCTAATGATTTCTTCTTCCTTAAGCTAATGCTGACTCAGACACCAGTAGGAAGATAATAGTGGTTGGGATATCACTTGGGTCTTAATCAGTTTCAGAAGTACTTCAGAGAAATGTACACGTTGCTTACATGTTTGCATCTGGTTTTTAATACTGTCGGATGTCTGGTGGGTTAAATTCACTATACCAAGTTTTGTCAAGGAACTTCTCACATTTTCATTGCACTAATCATCACAAAATACACTGAGTGGCCAGATTATTATGACCACCTGACGTTTATAGGCAAATTAGCTATAATTTTGCACTGAAGTTGCTAGAGGGCCAGACCATTAAAATAGGGAAGCAGGTTGTTTACCACGACAGTAGAAGTGATTTTTTTTTCTGAAGATATGGGTAAACAACGCAATTTGACAGCCTTTGAACGTTATATAGTCTAACCCTATTAAACTTTTAAAAATAATACATCTATTAGATGATAAGTTGCTTTCATAAACTTAGATGTTGAAAGATAGTATTGGCCCTGGAATATAATTTTTGAACTCTTAAATTGACACTTATTTGATGTGACCCATTCATATCTCAGCTATACTGAGAGAGTTGGAGACAGTTTTATGTAGCTTGGACAGAACAGTCAGTGTTTAGGCACATGAAAGATGTGTCTTAATCACTTATTCACTTCCTCCTGCCTGAGGTTTAAGTCAACTGTCCCATTCCAGCGAAGAGTTTGCACTCACAGAACTATTTTCCATGACACAGTTTATAAGAATTAAGTTTCTGCTTTACTTCCTAAAGAAAACTATAAGGAAAGAGGTGAAGACATTGCACTCCATAGTCCCTTTGTACAGTGACATCTGCTGGGCTGTAGCCCATAGTGATTTTTAAGCAAGTACCTGCTCATTTTCTTGAGGAAAAAACTCATTTCTCTTGCTGTCCTAGTGTCTAGATTTTTGTGGTCCGGAGAAGTGATTTTCATTTAAACATCAAAATCAGTTCCAGAGTTTAACAAGTTTATCTGATAGTAGAGCTAGAAATATACCCCTAATGCCTAGATTTGTAAACATCTATCTGTTGGCATAATTCAGAACAGCCTTGCTCCACAAAATTGTTAAGTAATTTCTTGCAGTTTATGTTTTGGGAATATCCTGGAGGAAAAGATACTGGAAATGAGCCAGTGTGAAGGGGTCAACAGAGTTACTGCTTTACATTAAGTGAACGAAATAGAAAACAACGCCCATTAAAAAGCATAAACGTCTGTGATGAGACTGTTGGACTCATTTTAGAACATTTGCTGCACGAAAAGGACAAGACTGATGCTCTTTTAAAGACGCATCTCTTTGCCTTAAAAGGATGCAGTGATCCTTCTGGGGGGGGCGGGGGGGGGCGGGAGGGGGGAAGAAACAACGAAAGAAAGAACAGAAAAAGACTGATTTGCACTTTGATACGGACGGCCAAGCCACGCGGGTATGCCTTCCAAGAGTTGCTGGTAGCAAACAAACAAACAAAACCCTTGGAGCACCCTCAGTAAATTGCTCATTCCACCGCGGACAGCGCAAGAGCCGAGCTGTTCTGCTGGTCCCCTCGCCCGCAGCCGCGCATTCCTGCCGCGGGTGCGCGATCTGGGGCCGCCCGCCCCGCCCCGCCCTCCCGGCTCCTGGCCGCCCTCCCGCGGCGCGCCCTGGGTGGGGCCTCGCGGCCGTGGGGATGCGGCCGGGGCGCTGGGCTGCTGATGCGAGTGGGCTGGGCGGCGCGCCGGGGCAGCGGGAGCCGGGGCAGCGGGAGCCGCGCGCCGCGTCGCTGTAACCGGACACCCGGGCGCTCGCCCCCCGCGCCGGCCGCTCTCCATTCACTCGCGGGCGCTGGCCTGAGCGGCGCGGAGCCGGGCTCCGGGTGCCCCTGCACCGCCGCGCGGAGGATTCCTTTACAAAGAAAGTGCGAGGACCGGCCGGCCGGGGAGAAGGAATTTCCCCGCGGGGCCGCCTCCGACAGCCAGGTCTTCTGGGCGACGGGCTGGAGGCACACGCGGAGCCAGACCGGTAGCACCTGGGTTTCTCCGTGCTGATCGCTTGGCCCCTGGGTAAGCGGGTTCCTGGGGTTCAGCATTAGCGGGGGTCTGTGTGTTGACTTTTCACACATCACTGTGCTCCAGTCTGTGTATTTTCTTAAGAACCTACGCAGTTTGTCCGGGAGCCGTTTCCCTTGCTGAGAGCCCGGCTGGAGTTGTTTCTTTAGGTTGTGACACCTGCGGCGAGTTAAAGTTGCGCATTTCAATGACTTCGGAGGCGGAATTGCTGGGGAGGACAGAAAGAGTCTTGTTCTTCCCGGCTGCTGGGGTTTCGATCAGAAGTGAAAATAAGCAGCCTGTCTAAGTGTCTGAGTTAAAGGGAAGAAGTTGTAAAGTAGGGGGTGCGAGGCGTGTGTAAGACACTTGCTTTGAGTCGCTTTTCCCTAGGTAGGCTTGAAACCACATTGCACTGTGTTCTTGCTTCCTTGGACCTGTCATTTCATCTCCAATATGTATTTTATTTTATTTTTTGCAACTTGTGGCAAGTGTCTCTCTTTTTTTGGGGGGGTGGGGGGGGGACATACCAGATAAAATACTGATAATAGCAATATGTAAAAATGTGTAAATCCTATCAGCCTTCTTAATAAAGAGACAAAGGTTAGGCATCTTTGTGGCTTTTTTTCCAGGGAACAAATGACTAAGGGAAAGTCACTCCATAAAATCAATTTTCTTCTAAGACAATTTAGGGATGACAGGGTGAAGAGGTTGCGGAAGCAGGAAGAAACTGTTTCTTTTGAAAATTACCAGCACAAACCTCTCAAGGCTTCCCTCCATCTGTGTGGTAAAAGAGGTGTGCGATTTTGTTTCTAACTCTCATAACGTATGCGTGCCACCTAGGAAATCAACTTATAATGTTCGTTTAGAATGGCATGTTCAGTATAATTGGTCTTTTTTTTCTTCTGCATTAATGAAGCACTGTTTACAACTTGTAGTGGCATTTTATTGAGTAAAATCAGTGATGATAAGATTTTAATTTTAAAAGCCACATAATATTGAAGGAAGGTCAGAACTGTTGTGATCTATAAAAATTAATTCCTAGATTAAACTGTTATATTATTTCAGTATATAATTATGCTAGACTCAAAATAATGGGATATTATTTTTATGGTCCTGAGATTATTTCACATGTTGTGACCACTGGAGAGTTTATAGATCGGTAGTTAACAGGTTACCTGATCTTCCTTGGTATTCAGACGTTAGTTAATAGCATGTATCAATTTTATAGCTATAGTTCCAGATAGGACTTGTCTCTCTGATTTATCTATTGGGATTTTGACAGCCACTTTCTGGTTGATTTATATGAGCTATGCATTGAGGGATATATGGTTCACTAGATTGCTCACCACTAGGTCATTGGTTTGAATTTGGCACCAGTCCAAGGTTACCTCATCTGCATCACTTAACAGCTGCTCGGTCATCTGTATAAATTGGCCGATAACTGATTCAAATGATTTCAGTGATCAAGGATTGAGCACATGTCCATTTATGCATAGAAACACCATTTCAGGTACAAGAGCTAATGAGTACGGAATGTTCATGTGGGATTTTTTTTTTTTTACTATTACTGTATTTATGGTAAGAAGGGATGTTTTCATCCATTCATACCTATCAATACCATTCTCAAGCCATTTAAACATACTGTGATTTTTAGAGAGGCGACCACATTTAAATATTGGTTTTCCTTTGGGAATCAATCACTTTTTCCTTGGCTGCTTTGTTCTTTAAGTTTTGGAAGATGAGAGTTTCTCTTTCGCAAACACTGCCAGACCAAGGGAATTGAATCCAAATTTTCACATCTAAGAAGCAAAGTCACAGCACCTCCTACTGTTTGCATGACTATGAAAGTTCAGGAATGTCTTTTGTGAATAAGGTGCTCTGTCTGGATTGCTGGTTATGTTTGTGTGGGTGTGGGTGTGCTCCTAAAATGTGAAATGAAATGTAAGAAACTTATCTCTTTTTTAAAGGTATTTCTCTTGGATATTAACTTGAAAATCTGAAGAAATGGCATTCCAGGCAATTTGCATGTTGGTTGGAGTATTTGTTTGTTCTGTCTGTGTAAAAGGATCTTCTCAGCCCCAAGCAAGAGTTTATTTAACATTTGATGGTAAGCAAGTTGATAAATTCTCTGGGAAAATGTTATTTACCATTTGTTTTCTTATCCAGATTAAAAAACTAAAGGCAATAAAGTATTATTGAATATTGATTTAAAAAATATTTATGGGACTGGTTTTTGGATGATATGGCTATTTAAAGTTATTAGTTAGTAGACAAAAGCCCTCTATTGCATTTTGTTTCTGAAAATGCTTGAAGTGTATTCTGCCCCCTTTTAAATTTCTTCTGTGTTTGCATGTGCATGCATGGGAGCGATGGTGAAAAACGCAAAGCCTACAATCTCTGATTTTAATATTCACCTGGTTTGGTTGAGAAACACCTCCCATGTACTAATCTTCATTAGCAGAAAGAACTATGAAGGTTAAATTACTGGAAATTTTCCTAATAAATTTTGAGCACTAGTCTTGACACTGGTCTTTCTATATAATAATGTTTCTTCTATTTCCACAAGGGTTTCCTGAGGTTGGCAAAGTCTCCTAATTGAAAAGGAACTGAAGGAATAGTTCAAAATATGCTTTTGATTGCTGTTGTGTACAGATGTTATCTTCAGGAGCTTAGGGAAATGAGTGTGACTTCAAATTTTCACACACATAAAAGTTGTAAGTCCTCTGAGGAATGGTTTGCCGAATGTATGCATGAGCTTTAATGTATATTGCTCAAAGGACTTACAGATGGATGATTTCCATCAGTCACATAACCCGTAGTAATTGGACAGATGGGATAAGAAATGGATCAGGAATATCACCCTGCCACTCAGGGTTATTTATATTTTTATGGCTTCTTTCAACTCTGTTTCTGCATAAACCTCAGTATTATTGGGCATAGTTTCATTTTCCTTTGAGAAACAATATACTCTAAGACCTTCCTGTCTTTGAAACACTGGTATCTTTAATTTCAAGTAGTAGTATGACTGACACTTATCAGTCAAATGGCTTCCTCCCTCCCCGCCCCCCTTCCCTCTGCTCCCTTCCCCTTCCCTCCCTTTCCTTTCCCTCCCTTCTCTTCTCCTCCCCTTCCCTTCCCCACCAAAAGCTTTCTCCAAGGTTATCATAAGTCCTATTGGAGCCTTATGAACTTAGAGTGCATAAGCTTCTGATTGCTTCCTTAGCTTCTAAGCCAGGCATTCCCCCTTAAAACCCATGACTATCCAGATAAGTTGTGAAGGAAGGAAAACAGATCTTTTGAAGTGTCCTATTTTTAAAAAAAAAATTACTAACTAAAGCAACTCATAGTCAGCTTACAACTTTTCTCCTAAATTGAGCGCTATGAAATATTTTTTTAAAAAAGAAGAAAAGAAAGGCATTAAGGAGCAGTACAATTTCTCCCTATTTTCTGTATTCCTCTCAGTATATAGGAAGATGGAGTGGTCCCACAGATTAGGTCTCTAAGCCCTTTCTCTCTATTTTATCAACATTAATCAAACTTTGTTTAACCCAAACTTAATCCAAAATAGGTAAATATTAAAGACTAGAGGCCCGGTGCACAAAAATTTGTGCACTCGGGAGGAGGTAGGGTCCCTCAGTCCGGCCTGTGCCCTCTCACAGTCTGGGACCCCTCAGGGGATGACCACCTGCTGGCTTAGGCCTGCTCCCCGGGGGATTGGGCCTAAGATGGCAATCAGACATCCCTCTGGCAGTCCGGCAGCCCTCGGGGGATGTCCACTTGCCAGCAGGGAGCAGACCTAAGCTGCAGTCGGACATCCTTAGCGCTGCTGAGGAGGCAGGAGAGGCTCCCACCACCACCGCTGTACTGGCAGCCATCAGCCTGGCTTGTGGCTGAATAGAGCTCCTCCCATGTGAGAGCACCCTGACCACCAGGGGGCAGCTCCTGCATTAAGCGTCTGCCCCCTGGTGGTCAGTGTGTTTCATAGTGACCAGTTATTCCCAGTCCTTCTGCTGTTAGGGTCAGTTTGCATATTACCCTTTTACTATATAGGATACAGGCCTGGTGCACGGGTTGGGGTCAGCTGGTTTGCCCTGAAGGGTGTCCCGGATCAGGGTGGGGGTTCCGCTTGGGTGCCTGGCCAGCCTGGATGAGAGGATGATGGCTGTTTGCAGCTGGTCACACCCCCTTCAGGGTGGAGGTCCCACTTGGGTGCCTGGCCAGCCTGGATGAGGGGATGGTGGCTGTTTGCAGCTGATCACACCCCCTTCAGGGTGGGCGTCCCCACTGGGGTGCCTGGCCAGTCTGGGTGAGGGGCTGAGGGCCGTTTTCAGGCTGGTGGGTGACTGAAGCTCCCAGCCTCTCCTTTTTTCTTTTTTTTTTTATTCTGGGATTTATTTACCTTCTATGGCTGTCACTGGAACTGAGAACCAGCTTTAGCTCTGAGGCTCGGCTCCAGCTCTGAGACCTCGGCTGCTGAAAGCAGGTATCTGGGTATGTTTGGGTTCTATAATTGTAACACTGTTGCAGTCCTGCTAGCCCCAGCTCTGACGGCTGAAAGCAGGTTTCTGGGGTTTATTTACCTTCTATAATTGCAACATTGTTTCTTAGACTGCAGCTCAGAGGCTGGCAGCGGCAGGCAGGGAACCTTGGCTTCCTCCATCACTGGAGAAAGCAAGCCTCCTGTTCGCTTCAGCTGCCTGGCTGCCAGCCGCCATCTTGGATGGCAGTTATTTTGCATATCTTGCTGATTAGCCAATGGGAAGGGTGTCAGGGTTATGGTTAATTTGCATGTTTCTCTTTTATTAGATAGGATAAGTGTGTCACCAGAGATATTTCATCAAGTGTATGTTTGAAGTGACAATTAAAATTTGTCTTTTAATGAAGTTCAGTAATGCAAACTTTTAAAACCAAACTTTAATACTATGTAGGACAATAAGTGCTCTGTATACAGTGACTAGACGGTATAATGGGCTTTTAAAGATACTGTATCACTAATATTTTAAGTGTTCCCAAACTCAAAAAAGATTCTTGCAAAATAAGACTTACCTTCATTTATAACATACTAGAGGCCCAATGCACGAATTTGTGCATGGATGGGGTCCCTTGGCATGGTCTGTGGGGATTGGGCCGAAACCAGCAGTCCAGTGCTGCATGCCACTCCTACCTGCCGCTCCCGCTCATCCCAGCCCTGCTGCACCTGCTGCAGACTTGTGCCCAGTCCTCAAAGCGAGAGACTCGCGCCACTCAGTGGCACTTGCCAGCTGTGAGCCCTGCATCTGGCACCTGTCCTGAAGGAGAAGGGAGGGGGCTGGGATGTGATTGGCCCTCTGGGCGGGTGGTGGGATGCCCTTGCTGGCCTGGAATCCGGATCGGAATCCGGATCCGTCCCACTGATGTTCGTGCTGGTTGTTGGGAGCCACCTGGCGGCAGCTTTTATATTATTTCTTCCTTGAAGAGCGCCTAGGGAAGGGAAGTGGCCACAGTGCCCGAGGCCAACTTCCAGGAGGCCAGTGGCACAGTTGGGATCGTGCTGGCAGCACGAGTCCATTGGTGCCTGGCCTGTTCTCTGGAGATTGGACCTATAGGACTACTGAGGGAAGGAGTGGGCCACCGGGACAGGTCGATCAGCTGAGCAACACTCCCACTGTGGGAGCGCACTGACCACCAGAGGGCAGCTTCTGTGTTGAGCGTCTGCCCCCTGGTGGTCAGTGCATGTCATAGTGACCAGCAGCAGGTCGTTTGGTGGCTTAGGCTTTTATATATATAGATGTAGAATACAATATGGTAAAATAAGCTATTGATCTGAAAGTTTTATAATTCCTGATATTTTATTCTTCCCAAGAGGCTTTTTTAAAAAAATATCTTTATTGCCCTGGCTGGTTTGGTTCAGTGGTCAGAGTGTTGGTCTGCAGACCGAAGGGTCATGGATCCTATTCGCAGTCAAGGGCATATACCTCAGTTGCAGATTCAGTCCATGGCCAGGTCAGGGGAGTGAGCGGTAGGCAACCAGTCAATGTGTCTCTCTCAGGTTGATCTTTCTCTTTCTCTCTCTCCTCTCTCTGTCTCTCTAACTCCCCCCTTCCTTCCACTCTCTCTAAAAATCAATGGAAAAAATATCCACACTCCTTGGGTAAGGATTATCTTTATTGTGAAAGTATTACAAAAAAAAAAAAAAGAAAGTATTACAGATGTCTCCCTTTTTCTCCCCATAGACACCCTCCACCCCTCACCTGTCCCCTCCCCAGGCCTACTGCACTGTATTATCTGTCCATGGGCTGTGCATAGATAATTCTTTGATTAATCTCTTCCCATAACCCCTCCCCCTTCCCTTTGAAATACTCAGTCTGTTGCATGCTTATGCCTGGATCGTTTTTGTTCATCAGTTTGTTTTGTTCACTTGATTCCACATACAAGTGAGATCATGTGATACTTGTTTTTCTCTGACTGGCTTATTTCACATAGCATAATACTCTCCAATAGCCTTAATAGTAAATAATCATAGAGATAAAATATAACAATTTAGAGACTATTTTAAAGTGATATATCAATAAGGAAATTCTATAATTTCTTCATAAAATACAAAAACTCTTAAGTTAGACTATATATATATTAGACTATATATATTAGGCAAAGTATCATAGGAAAAGTACCTTGGGCAAAAAAAACACGTTAAAATGTTTACATTTTAATCATAAGTTTATAAGCATTTTCTTAAGGGATTTGATAGTATACCTGCTTGAGATGCTTGTTTCAAATTTCTTATTAAAGTTTGCCATTGATTTTATGATGACTTCTCTGAGTAGGTTACTAAATTTCTTCCAAAGTAGTTTAGTCTTGACATCAAAATACAGAAATTTGTGTAGGGTTGACATATATAGGGTGGGGCAAAAAATCTGTTTATAGTTGTGAGTAAACCCAATACAGAGCATATTATTGCACTATTATTTATCAATTACTGTATTATTCTCCATATGAACAACTATAAATCTACTTTTGCCCCACCTTCTATATGAACTTGTTAATTTAAATGCATAAAGGTATATACTTTATTTCATTTATTTCATATTTCAAAATTTCTAAACTAACTTGCAACCAAAAATCAGGACT